TGTCCCTGGAGTCGTGTGGTAAGTCTGGCAGAGTTTGAAGGAGTTGTGGGTCGTCTGGTGCGGTTCGTGGAGAGCTTTGCATTGTCAGTGAAGAGAGGAAGGAGCCGATGAACATTTCTGAGCAGATTTGTCTGTGCAAATGAAGTTTAGTGATTACAGTTTTTAGGCAGTTCAAATTTTGGGGCTTAGTACAGAATTGGTGCTTAGAGTTTGCAGGTAGCGCTAAGAATGATTATTAAAATGTTGCTGGAAAAAAGTTTGGATTCTTCTAGGATTAAAATAATGAACCAAAGGATGGTAGCTTCATGCTAAATATACCTTTAGTCTCTTGATTAATTGTTGTTTGCTGCACTGCATCCTGATGATAAAGTTTGGTCGTAGAAATGTGATGCGACTGTGCCTTTAACCTTGTGGCAGTGTTTCTAGCTCTGCAGTGGCCTCATGTGGGACTGCAGAGTGAGACTGGAGCCAGTTGTGAGCCTTGGACTGCGGAGGGGCTTGGAAAGCAATAACCCTGGTGTTCAGGACAGCTTCCTTTCTTTTTCTTTTTTTCCAGTGAGGAAGGGAGGATGGGGAACATGTTTCCCAGCTAATGAGAAAAGTTGGCTGTGTACTGGGGGCCTGGAGCAGCGTCATGCTGATCTTATGTGTTACCGATTTGCATTCATATCATGCATGCCATCCTAGCAGCTCAGTGCACTTTATAGAGAATATTGTTCTCACCTGAAACAGCATCTCTAGCATCCAAGAGGCCTTCTTGTGCCGTCTTGGGGATGCTGGCTTCATCCCATTTCAGAGTAAAGAGTGCCACCTACTGAATCACTTAGGTTTTGTCTTCATTGTAAAAGATGCCTTTGGGGTAGTTAACTTGATGTAAAACCCTCGTGACCAGACACGGGTATTAGAGGCCAATCTGCTACCTCTCAGCTGGGGTTTAACTCAATTAACTATAGCTAATTAAGCTGCCTGCACAAACGTTTTATGCCGTTAGTCATCTCAATAGAAAACGTTTTTTTGTAGTGGTTCAAAGCCTATCACTATTTTCTGTGGCAGGGCTGTGTTCCTTGGCAGTATGCTGTCAAAGGACTGGAGAGTCCGGTCTTGGCTTGGCTCAGCTTGTGAGAGCTGGCACAGTGGGGATGAGTTGTCATTTTTTGTGTCTAGAGAAATGAGCCTTGACTTCAGAAAAGGAGCTGAGGCCAGAAGGAGTTGTATTCTGTTTTGCATTCTATTTGACCTCTCTCTCTTCCCTCTTCCAGGCTCCTCTGAGGAGGCAGTCTCTCCCCTCCAGCACAGCTTCATGATCCCTAAAAAGGAGATAAACATGGTTTCTGATATGGCCAAGTGGAAGCGCTCTCAGGTATGGATCTGGGTTCTATGTTCCTGAAGTGTCTCAGTGTTGGCATTTGTGTAGGACAAACCAGGCCAAATGTAACAGGTTGAACAGGGTTGGGTCAAGCTGCTGGAAATAATTACTTTTAAAATCAAATGGGCACTGTGACTAATGTTTTGGGAATTGTAATAAATGTAGCTTCCTCCAGTGGTCTTTAGGTGACAGCAGTAGGAGACTGTGGATAACAGAAGTACCTACCTGGGCAGTTATTTGTGATGACAGCAGGTCCTGTCTACTCTGTATGGCCTGTAATTCAACCCCTGGGACTGATAGTGGGGTGTAGGAGTGTTCACTGTTCTGCAGTGTGGATAGTGAAATGCCCAAGCCCTGTCTGTAGTAGAGCTCTTGCCTTTGCTACTGCTGGTGGTGAATACCAGTAGTATTCTGGTTTGACTCTACAGACAATTCTGTAGTGTGCGTAAGGGCTAAGAGCTTGGAAGAGAAGAATAACGTATTGGTTCTTCCCATACTGGGACAAGATCCCAAGGTTGCCCTCAGCAATGGATAGGGCTGGGGCTCTGTCCACAGTGGTAAAGAATCCATATAAAGCATGATTTTGGGCCATCCTTCATAGAACATTGTGTTGTCTATGTGACCCCACCACAAAGCTGAGGAAGATGGTGTTAATTGTCACCTCTGATACTTTCTAACCATGTTAAAGAATACCTTTTAGTCTAGCCCTGGAAGCTGAAAGTAGCTGTGTTTATGATATATTCTGTTCTGTTGCAATGTGCTCTCTGACTAGACAGTTCTGCCTGGGACCTCCCTTACAAGAAGTAAAATTACAGTGAGCACATTGTAGTACATCAAGACAGCATCAGTCCGTTGTTGCTCAATGGTTACTGCAGTTCCTCTCTACATGACTCACTACATAGGAAGTTGCTCTGTAGACATGAATGTGCAACATTGAGGCTTGGTCAGGCAGGCTTTTCTTAGACTAGATTGGAGGCCAGCCTGTCAGCAAATGGCTATGGATGAAACTTTAGCCCCTTGCCTATTTGGCCTATCTTTGATGAATGGGTTTGACAGATCTCAGCCCTCTGTGTCTACAAGCACAATGGTATCTGCCCTGGCAAGTTGTGACCAACCCCTTTCTTTGCACAAGTCTAGTTTGTCTTTGCCTTTGTGGACAAGTTGTTTGTGGAGTAGGCTTGTTCCCTAGCAGAGCTGTCAGGATCTCTGTGCTCATGGTTCAGGTGGGTGGCCCAGCCTTGTTCCTGAGGAATGGGGACAGAAAAGTGGCAGTAACTCTTGCTTGGGGACCAAGGTGTGATCCCTTCAGAGATGAGTGTTTCTGAAGAATCGCAGATAAAACCCTGCTTTGTCACATTCTTTTTTATCAGGGCTTTCCTGGAAGGACAGCCTGTGAAGTGACTGGCAACAATGAGGTCTGAAAGAGGTTCCTTCAGAAAAACTGTGGCCCACTTTCAGGGTTTTCACCTTTGTCCCTGCATGTCCTGAGCTGGGGGACTGTGCAGTGGGTGTGAAAGAAGAGAGGAGAAAGGAACCTATTTAGGACAGCTGCCCCCTTCTTCTCCTGGGCAGCTCAGATGTGGGAAGGAGGGCATGAGCAGGAAAGAAATGAAGGAGTTATTGGGAGGGGTGACAGAGCCAGAAACTGCAAGTGATGATGTATTTGGGCCCAAATTTGGACAGGCCCCAGAGATGAGGCTGAGGAGCTTGTATTTGACCTGGTGAGTGACAGCAACCTGGTAAGGGGATTCAGGTAGGAGGGTGCTGGGTTGGGGTCTCTTTAAAAAGAGCTTGCTCTATGTGACTTCAGCTGGCTGTACTGATGCAGAGGGCTCAGCACATTCGTAGTGCTGCTTAGAAGTTAACATTCTCAGGAGCTTTGAAGACAAATAAGTAACATCAGAACAAGCCTTGCACCCTGTGCTTTCCCAGGGTACTGGCATTGTGGGTTGGATCTCATCCCTGCTATGTGCTCTAGGCTTCCCCCACTTGTCCACATGTCTGCAAACTCACTGTCAGTACTCAACTGATGCCCTGTCCCCTTGCATGTTTGCAGGCATATGCAGACTACATTGGCTTCATCCTCACCCTGAATGAAGGCATCAAGGGGAAGAAGCTGACCTGCGAGTACAGAGTCTCTGAGGTGGGAGAAAGCTTGGACCACACTGTTTCCAGTGTGGTATTTTTCTTTTGCTGATTTGCCTTGCACAGCAGGGCTCAGATGTTTTCCAACTAAGGGCTGTGTTGGCAGCTTGCCTGGGGCCCTGAAGAGAATAAAGTATTGCTGAGCTGCATCTGCTTTCTTCATTAAATGCAGTAGAGCAGCCTTTGGGGACTACAGATACCAGTGTACAACGGTTCGCTTGGTAACCAGGTGCCTTTGTTCACCCACAGAAATTGCACTCCAGCCCTTGGTGAAGGTGTGGGGTATGCAAAGGGTCACAGGCAAGGAAGGGCACATTCTGACCACACATGCTGTGCATATGCCATCTGATCTGTAAAGAAGCCATTTATGAGGAGCCGTGTTGCTCTTTGGCTATAGCAGAGGACTGCATACCCTGAGTTTTCTTCCTAGCCACCCACTAAGGCACTGCATGACACTGAGCAGGCTGCCCGACATCTCTGCCTCAGTTTCCCCTCTTGCAGGGAGGTGCCAATGCTGGCCTCCTAGCGGGGTTTGTCTTGGGTTGATAAGGTACCTTGAGTTGAAAGAATGTGGTAGGAGGTACAAAGTGCCCCTGCTCTTCTTCACCCTCAACACTAAAGTCTTATCTGGGTTTCTTGCCTCTGAGGAGATGGCTCATGGTGCCTCATAGTAACTGTCTTTCCGTAGCAGCCGTGTAATTGGCTCTCACCCCAGTACCTACACCCTGGTGATAAGCATGTCTATGGTCTCTGCCATTTGAACCATGTGTTTATGGTACTGGAAGGTTTGTCCTGGATCCTCTGCAGGCAGCAAACCATACCTTGCTGTATCTCAGTGTGGACTGAGTCCTGCTGAGGCCTCACTTGAGCAGCATTATCTGGTGCAAGTCGGGCAGGTTCTTGGCCCAGGCTGTCCGATATTCTTTGGTGTATAAGGCAGCATGGGCTGCAGAAGGAAGAGGTGAAGTTGGATCATTTTGCTATCAGCCCCAGTTCAGAGGTTCTCAGCAGGAAGACAAGGTAGAAATAACTTAGTTCCCCTTGGAGAGGTCTGCATGTCTGTTGCATGGTGGCTTTTTGGTGCTGTGACCAGTTTTGATGTCCGTTCATATGATGAGATCACTGACAAGATGCAGTGCAGGCACTGTGGAGTCCAGTCTTATTGAGGCCAGAGGAGGGATTTCAGAGACTCTCAGGGAAAAAGTGCAGATTTCCTCATTGTCATGTCATTCCCTGGAGCTTGTTTCAGTTTGATTTGGTTCAGTTTGATTTGAACACTGCCCTGTGTTCCTTGTCAGCCATTCACCCATCACATCCAGGTGGCATCGGGTGGGCTGTAGCCGTGTTCTGCAAGGTAGTTAAGAGATGTCTTGGGAAGCCTCTTACCTTTTCCCATTACAACCAGTTACAACTGTGTAGAGGTACTGTATTAGAAACTGACTGCTGAAAAGAGACCTACAAATGGCTGAAAGGGAAATAGACCTCTGCCCAATTTAATGCCTTTTGTTGCGATTAAATAATCAGGCAGGTAGAACCTGGCCTTCCCTACTCTGGAAGACATCCCTTGCAGGAGCTAAACATGCAGGTCAGAAATGTACTTGTCTTTCTTTGAAAGCAGATGTGTTAAATCCTTCCCAGAGGGGCTTTCTTGCTGACTTCTGCTCAGGCCTTTGAGTCTATCTGGGCTCCTCACCTCTCTGTATTTTCAGCAGCATGAAAAAAAAAGAAACAATTTCACTTATTTTGCCTGTACAGGTGTCTTTATTGTAACAGTTCTGGTTCCTAGTCATCCATAATATTCCATGGAAAACAGGGAATCAAGACCTGAATTGAATATGTAAAACAGTTGGAGAAATAACTGTACTCCCTTTCCAAGCTTCTTAGGTCGTTAGTCAGTGTAAAGAAGCAAAGGAGGACACGCATCAATTTTCCCTCCCTGTCAAATCCTCTTTCAATGAATTTGTTCTGCCACCTACAGACAATTACAAAATGTAATGGCACAGACAGAGCGGCCTGTCCCATAGCCTTTTTGCTGAGTGGGGCAGAAACCTGGGACTTAAAGCAAAATAAATCTATTTCCTCTGGGGTCAAATCCCTTGGGTGCTTGGCTGATGAGGCTGCATGTTCACAAGGGCTCATTCCTAGGTCAGACTTCTCATTTTCAGTTTTAAAGACTCAGCCTCCTTTGGCTCCTGCCTGCCTCTCTGGTCCAGTTTTCCTCTGCTTCCCTATCTGCTGCTGATTCTCCTTGTGTTTCTGTCCCTTCCAGATCAAGTGCCAGGGGCTCCTTCCTGTGTCCCTAAATCCCTTCTTTGACCACATGTCCTCCTTATAATGGATCAGTGTTAGTCCACCAAGAAAAAAAGTTATGGGGAAGGACAGGGGTGCAGTGCTGGGAAACAGTTGGCCTGCCAGTCCATAAGAGATTGTGCATGCGACCTGAGTTGCCTGTTAACTGAGGGCTAGATCTGGCAAAGAGCAGTTGTTGAGTCCCATCAGCTCATGCTAAAGTTGCATGGAATCCCTGGGGGATGAGTACACTCCACTCCTTTATGGAGCTGCTGATCACCTTGCTGGGCCCTTAGGTGGTAAACTTCATGGCACAGAACTGTGCCTGGTTGTGCACTGTTCTTCTGGTAGTCCCTGAGATCTCAGATTGTGGTTTTGCCCACTTCCTGCTTGTGTTTGGGATCGTGCTCCATTGGAGGGGCAGAAACCTGGCTCTGGGGCCACATGTTCAGACTCCAGGAGGAGGGACTGGATGTGTAGTTGTCACACCTGAAACCCACAGCTCTCCACTGCTGGGCAAAGCCAAGAAGCCTGCTGGAGGTAGTGCCAATGCCAGCTGCATCATCCGCAGAGAGATGCTGCTGGGTCATTGCTCCCTAGTTAGCCATGTGGCTATGTCATTCCCTTTTGTCCTTTGTGGGCAGATTTGGGGTTAGGAGGATGCAAATTCAGTCCAGCAGGTCAAGGAAGGAGGTGGGGGAGGGGAGGAGTTGCCTTTGCTTTGATAATTGGGAAGGTAAAACAGCAGTGGAGCATGAAGACCCAGCCCCCCCCCAAACTCCACTGCAGGTTCTGATGGCTGAGTTCCTGCAAACTCCATTACTCCCCCTGTCTGGCTTCAGTCTGTCTGGACAGGTTTCTTCTGCTGGACAATAGAAACCTGCCTCCCCTCAATCGGTCCCCTTTCAAAGGGCCTCGAGCCTGAAATAAGCCGAGTCTCTTTAATTATTTATTGGCACGGCTGAACCAGCAGCTGGGTCCCATACTCCCGCCTTCAGCCAGGCTGTGGTTTTAATTCCTTTAAAGCAGGTGAGGCAGGAACAAGAATGTTTGATTCTGCCCTGTTCCTTGAGGCCTGGAGGCAAGAGGCTGTGAAAATGGGAGTGAGCAAAACACCCTTGTCTCTAGCCAGGCATTTATCTAGCCAGGACTGAGTGCTGCAGCCACGGCTCAGCGAGAGGGTTTGAAATACAGGAGCTGCTTGTAATGAGCTGCTGCCACCAGGGGATAAATCACAGGCATTATTTAATTATTTAACAGAAGCCACTGCCGGGGATGCTGCTGTTAATTGGAAGGGAGCTTGGCAGCCCCCAGGAACCAGACCCGGCCCTGCTGGGGCACAGCCTATCTCTTTGTTCCATGCCTGGGCAGCTCCTGGCACAGCGGGGTCCTGGCCCATGGCAGTTTCTCTCAGGCTCTGCTGTAAAACACACGATTGTTTTGTCCCACTCGGCTCGAATCCAGGTCACTGCCCTGATGCTGGTTCTGGCCTGTTACTTCATGAGGGCACCCAGTTGCTTGGGCCCTGTTATCTCGCCCCGTACGCTTGCAGGCAGAGGCCTTAGGGTCTGTTCTCTGCTATAAGATCATATGGAAGCAGGGTTGGAAGGAATTCATAAGTTTACCTAGTCCAGCCACCTGCTCCAGGCAGGATCACCTCTAACTAAACCGTGCCAGCCAAGTGTCTGTCCTTGCTGATCTCCCACTGTCCCAGCCCTCTGCTTCTGACTTGTTCAGCAGCCGGGGTATGAGGCTTTCAGAATCCTGATGCGTGACTCTCAGCTGTGCTCACACTTGGTTTCCTACCATCCTTCCAGAGCGGGTGTCCAGGGAAGAAGCCATGGCTATTGAGAGACCTGCCTGCAGAGGAGGGAGAGGTGGGGGCTGGCTCGCTACTGGTTCAAAGGCAGAACGCTTCCTGGCCCATCTCTCCTCCCCCTCCCCTCCAGTGGCACTTCAAGGGCTAGAAACTTGCTGGGCTCTGCTGTTTCCTCGTCCTCCCCTGACAGGCAGCATGAAGAATTGAACCACAGCCCAGGAGACCAGCAGGCTTCACACGGTCGATGCCTCCAGCAAAGTCAAACCAGCCCCTGCCTTGTCTGTCCTCTTTGTCCCCTTGAAGGAGGAATCCCCTCTTGAGACAGCGATGCCTGTTGGCCAGGGCCCAGCCAGCTGCTGTAGCAACTGACGCATCTCCAGCTGCTCTGATGGGGACCCGGAGAATCCCTAACCATGGGATTGGCAGGTGGAAGGGTTTCAAGTACTTGTTGGCAGAGTCTGCTAGTACTGCCTTGTGTTGGGAGTAAGTACGTATTGGACAACAATACTGCTGCTGTGCTGCTTCTCTGCATCAGTACTGAGGCTGGGTGGCTGTTTGCAGAGGGCCTCTGCTTCCCAGTTCTGTGGGTGCAGGAGGCATTTGCCTGCTCTGAGCACCACCCTAAGGCCACTCTTGCTTGCTGCATAGGGCAATGCAGCTTTGAACCAGGCTCCATATTGCTGCCATCACTCTCCTCTGCCTACCAAATGGCCATTGCTAAGACCCGTCCTCTCCCTCTGCTCCAGCTAGGTCAGCCCCTCCTTCAGTCCTCTCCCTGGCTGCTTCTCTCATTTCTTATCACTTCAGGCTCTTCTCTTCTCCCAGTGCCTGCATGGCACTGCTTGTCTTGCTCCTCACAACTCCACTTGTCCTCCTTTGCTCTCAGCTTCTTACCTTCTTTCCTGCCTCTCTCCAGTTTGGAGTGTTTCCCCTCCCTGAGCCTACTCCTTTTAAGAACCCTCCTTTGGCTGACCCAGTCTGTAAGTTCTAGGCAGGGACCAGTGCTTGGACCTGGGTGGTTGAGAGGTGCCAGGTGCACTGACATCCTGAGGTCAGAGGGGTTCAGAACCTTGGGAAACTAGGTTGTAGCGCCCCGTGAGCCACAACTCTTGGGACTTCAACAGGGGAAATGACTTGGGTGAGGTCAGTGATGGTCAGGATGCTCTATGAACAACATGCTGTCTCTTGTGACCTGGACTCAAACAGTGAGGGCACTGTCCCTTCCAGCTGTCTTTCTGTTCTCCTTCTCATTCAATTAGAGACTGGAAGCTTGCTTTTTTTGTCTTGGATTCTGGAGCACTGTTCTGCAGCAATTGCAGAGTCTGCAGTGATGGCAGCAGTTAGTGTTGCCCCAGGATTGCAGTGTACATGAGATCTTCTCTTTGGGTCCTTAGGAAAATTGTCTCTGCTTGTTCAAGCAGTATAAAAGAGAGGCTGTCTGGGCCAGTTGGAGAACTCAGATAAGTACAGTATTGGCTGCTGCCTCCTGATGTGAAGCAAGGGTGGGGCTGGCCACTGTGAACCTTAGAGAGGCCATGTGAGCCCTTTCTGACCCTTGAAACACCAGTGTCAGGCTCTGCAGCTCAGCAGTAGGAGTATGGTGGTGCCTACCATAGAAATGTTGGTTTCACAGCAGTGGCTTCACAGGGAATAATTTATGCTTGCTTATGCAAGTGACTTTCTCTCCCTGTCTGATTGTGGCTTGTCATTTGTTCTGTCTCTGCAGCCTGTTAAGAAGCTGGTGGATCTCCTGAACACTCTCGACAGATGGATTGATGAGACCCCACCTGTGGATCAGCCCTCTCGCTTTGGGAACAAGGCCTTCAGGACCTGGTATGCCAAGCTGGACCAGGTATGTGGGGGCTGCGGGGAAGAGACTTAAATGAATGATCTCTGTGGCCTGGAGCAGGGCAGCCACTAACCATAGAAAGACTGTCATACTCTTGTGATGCCTAAACAGTTCCACCAGGGGGGCGCAGCTCCCATTTACATCTCTCTGCCAGGTCTTCATACCCTCAATAGAATCCCAAAGAGCCTGAGAGGTCTGGTGGATCAGAGCAGGATTGTGACTTGCCACAACAAAGCCTTGCCTGTCTCAGCTGAGTGCTTGCCCCAGACAGCTCCCTGGGGCTGGCAGAAGCAGAATGCGCTGTACTAAGCTGTTGGATTGTTCTGGGCTGGCAGATACAAGGATGCAGTTTGTTAAAGTTCCAGTTAAATGTGACTGATGAAAGTTGCTGGACTGATCGCCTTGGAGATTGAAGTCTTTCCTCTCCTGAACAGATACAGTCCAGGTGGCAACAGGGCAAGCTTTTCTCATGCTTCTCTTTAATGTGCTACCATTTAATGTTTACTGAGGACAACAGGGGAATTAATTTCTCAAGTCACGCAAGCTTTGGGCTCACTGCTCATACCAGCAATGGGGTCAGCTGCACTGATGGCATGTTGGGATGGATGCCCTAAATGGTAGCTGTTTCTACAGTGGGCAGGGGAAGAGCCTTTTATCTCATACCACATCTCTGCCACCCCTACCAGCTCACTAGTTTGGTGAGATGTAACACTGTTCTTTATACCACCCAATAGAAGTTGCTGCTGAGAGATGTTAGGATTCCCCATTTGTCTCTCCTCTCCATACATCCATCTCACAAGCTTGGAGGGGGCTTTTGCTCTCTGGAAGTCCATTGTAAATCACTAGTGAGTGCTAGTCTCACCTCTGCAGTGGTGTGCATTATCCAAGGTTGGGCTTGTAGCAAATCGGAGCTAATCCTTGGGAACCCTTTTTTTCAGGAAGCAGAACATTTGGTTGCAGAAGTGATCCCCAAACACCTGGTTGAGGCTGCACCAGAGGCTGCTGTGTACTTGAAGGAATCTGTGGGGAACTCCACCCGGATTGACTATGGGACAGGTACCATTTCATGAACATTTCATGCTGCTGGTCTTGTTGAGTTCTTCTTGACTCCTAAGGCATAACTTAGTCTCACAATTCAGGGTTGCCATTCCCATTGCAGAGAATGATACCTGCAGGGGATTATACCAAGGCGAAAGTTGACCTAGAGAGTAGATCATCTTTGCATTGTGCTGGAACTGTGGTTGCTCTGAGGTCTTGGCCTGTCTATTTTAAGTATCTTCTCCTTTAAATAATGGTTCCTACCTCTGGTCTAAAATATTCCATCTATGGACTTCAGAGTGTCTTAGAAATATTAATTGAGCATAGCAACCACTGTTGAAATGCTGTCACCTCTGGGGTGAACCACAAGAGCTGCTGAACACTGCCTTTGGTGCAGGACAAGAAGTGCACATGGAGCATTATGCACAGTTAAACCACAAGGTGGAATTTGTGTTCCCTCTTGAACTGGAGTTAGAGTAAGCAACTGCAGCTTATGTTTATGCCTGGGGCAAATGTCATGAGATCATAAGTGACCACAAGTGCTTGCTACATGTGGCTGAAACACATGGCGATAGCGCTAGTAGAGAATCGGGCCCAGAAAGAAGTTAAGAGTCAGAAGCTGGAGTAACTCACTGGCTTCAGTTAGGTTGCTGTGGATTGACATCCATGTGAAAGCAGCCCCTCACACTGTGTGCTAAACTGTGGTGATTCCCACCTCTCTGTACCAGGGGAGCAGGCTCAGAGAAGAATGTCTAACAAGTAGCTTAACCAAAGATCTGCAGTGTAGGGAGCAAAGAGCCTGGAACGCGACTCGCCTGCATGGCCAGAGAACCCCGGGAAGAGGTGAAGGAAATGCAGGTCTGAAAACTGCACCTGTGCTGCAGCTCTTGATCACCAGGGGGAGATGTTGCCATTAGTAATGAGCCTATTGACAGGGCTTGTTTGTCAGCTGGAGCTTGGTGAGGGAAATCCAGTCTCCCCACCTCTCTGCTGTGTGTCATGCACTGGGTCCAGTGTGCTTTTACTTTGGCACAGCTAGGCCTTGGGGGTGGCCTCTTTGCATGCCAGCAGCGGCATCATTTTGCAGAGCGGAGTTGCCTTTGTATTTAATCTCTCGGTCACCTCCATTTCTCCTGTTTGAAGGGAGATAAAAGCCTCTCAGCAGCCAGCCTAGATATCAAATGTGTTTTCAGTGGTGCACTCATTCTGCTGCCTTCACTGTTACCCAAGGAATAGCTTTACCTATGGAGGGTGGCCCGGGGTTGGCAGTTGGCATCTTGAGAGGGTGATTAGAGGCAAGACAGTGACCCTCAGACATGGAAGTGTGTGTTTCTTTCTCCCTCCTGCTGGGCACATACATAGTCCTCCGCTTCCCCCGTACTGTAAATAAGAAGGGAGCAGTTCCCTGTTAGGTCCTAACACCCCAGTCTCTTGGTGCTAGGTTCCTCAAAATATTCTATTCTCTAGGCCCCACACTTGCAACTGCTGGCTCATATCGGGTGATCCACAGAGATCAGCCAGCATCTTAACATGACAGATTTGAGCAGGGGTGGAGAGTGGGTGAAATGTTATGACCATAGGCATTTATCGTCCTATCCCAGTAAAATGGAGTTGTAAGGCACCTGGTTTGAGCATTGCCACCCACAGCAATCCAATTGTGGTGTCCGTTATGGCACCTGGGGAGAGCTGATCTCTGTGGTGGGAAGCACCAACACTGTGTATGCATCTCCCATTCTTTAATCCCAGGTCACGAAGCTGCGTTTGCTGCTTTCCTCTGCTGTCTCTGCAAAATTGGGGTTCTCAGGGTGGATGACCAGCTGGCCATTGTATTTAAAGTGTTCAACAGGTGAGACGATGCGAATATAAAGATTGGGGTGGATTTGTTGACCCCTACATTGGGTCCCTCTTCCACCTGTCTGTCCTATGTATGTTATGATGTGTAAGTATAAGTCATCTGACCCAACTGACTCATTTCATTATGGTTATAATGAGCTCTGCCTTCTCCATCATTCTCATTTGGCCTGATGCTTCAACTCCAGGAAGACAGAGATCACTTGATTTGGGTGCATATGTATTTCCAGTGGACAAAGCACTGCAAACTAAAGGGCCCTGTACCTTACCAGAGAAGATCAGAACAAGAACCAATGGCTGGAGGTGAAAGCCAGGCAACTAGAAACAAGATGTGTATTTTGAATGGCAAGAGTAGTCGGTCATTGGAAGGACCTACCAAGAGGAGCAGTGTATTCTCCATCTGTTGGTGTCTTCAGCTCAAAACTGGACACCTTTTTTGATGATGCTTTAGCTATTGGGCTAAATTGTGAGGGGCGAAATCCTGTGACCTATGACAGACAGATATGCTAAATGATCCAGTGTCTCTTTTAGTCTTGGAATCCATGAAATTTCCAGCCTCCCATAGCTGCTCTTGTCAGTGCCCAAAGTACAGGATATGGTGTCTATAGCTGTAAAAAACTAAGGACTCCACACGTAGACTCCTACACTGACTTGACTTCAAGGTGAGAATGGAGAGGACACACAATACTCTGACTTACACAACTGTAAGTCACCTCAGTCTTGGGTAGATTTACTCCTTGGAAAGTGAGGCATGATTGCACACCCTCGCCTTGGCAGTTGCATGTCACAGCAGTCCTTTGCTCAGTGCAAGCTAGCTCCCCATCACCTAGTGACCAGGCACTGTAATAACACCTGGTGCAGGCAAATAGCTGGGAGAGCTAATGGGTGTCTGCTCCTTGCTACAGGGTTAATCTACTACACAGTCAAATCTGGAGTAAAAGGCTCTGGAATATTTGTGTGTCCAGAGTTTCCTCTTTTGTGAAGCTGGGATGATAAAAAATATTCTTGCAAAGACTTAATTGGCTTAATTCTGGAGTGTGTAATACCTTTGTGAAGGTTCTAGAGAAGAGTACACTGGCATTACGATCAAGCAACATGTACAAAGTTTTGCAGCAGAGTGAAATCTCCAGGCATCCTTCAAGAATTGTTGCTCACTTTCCTGTTAAATTAATTGAAAACACTTATGCTGTCATCTGCTACTAAATCTATAAAGCCTGAACTTCTATGGCCTGGGCAGCACATATGCCCAGTGGGCTGCGGTTTACCCAGAGCCCTGCACATAAATATTAAACCTGGAGAGCCCTGGTCTAGGCTTGTAAGGGACACTTCTAAAAATGACCTCATCTCATCTCCTCATGGAGAGAAGATAGTGTGATGTGCATGAACAGATAAATAATGCAGTGACTCCCGGTTATTGGCCATTGGTATTGTCATTGCCTACAGCAAAAGATCTGGGGATTCTGCTGAATTTCATGTTGTCCCTTTTCCCATGATCTCTGGACAAGTCTCCTCTGTTTTGCATTGCTTAATTTCTTATTTAGAACCAAGATAGGCCCTGGGTCCCTCTTCTTTAGGTGAACTGGGTAACATGAATAGGGCAGGTTTATTTACACTACCGTATGCTGTCCACTGACTGACAAAGGAATAGAAACCTGGTACCAGAAAGCCAATATCAGACCTCCATCAGCTGTAAGCTTATCCCCGATGTGAGCTAGACTGAGTCAAATCTTCTTCCTTTCACAACCGGGGGTCATTTGTTTCTCCTGCTCGGATGTTAGATGGTTGTGCAGTAGGCTATTAGATTGGATCAGGCTCTTATGCTAGGTGCAGAAATAATGTGCTTGGGACCTTTGCAGCTGGCCTCATAGGGCCTTGTAATTGAAATCCCCCAGTTGTTTCAGCAGTGGCAAGCATGTTTGGTGTTAACTCTTCACTTTCTCCTTTTGCCTCAGGTATCTGGAGGTGATGCGGAAACTTCAGAAGACCTACAGGATGGAACCAGCTGGTAGCCAGGGAGTGTGGGGCCTGGATGACTTCCAGTTCCTCCCCTTCATCTGGGGCAGTTCCCAACTGATAGGTACTAATGAACCATCGACCATGCTTTGGTCTCTCACCCGCTTTCCACTTCAGTGTGAAGATAATCAGAGGATGGAGATGCTTTTAAAAGATCATTAGAATGGTGTTTAAAAAAATTACGCCTCTGATTGAAAACTGTGCTTGGAGTTCAGAACTTATGTTCCAGGCCTTCAGAGTGAAGCCAGTTGCTCAGAGTATGAGAATGGAGGGTTAGTGTCAGTGTTCATACATCCCAAAGTAGACCTATTTTTAATTGAGAACCATGCAAATTATCTGTGCTAGAAAAGATGACTACCCTGAGCAGCTTTCAGTATGCTCCTATTGCTGAGATACTGGATCAAGGCTCAGGAGATTTGGATTTACTTTTCAGTTCTGCCACAGTTTTCCCATGTCACCTTGGCCAAGTTGTTTAACATCTTTAAGTCTCATTTTCCCCATCTGTAGAAGGGGCTGGTATTGCCTTTGTCCTTTCTGTTTGGATAGTGAGTAATCTGAGGCAGGGATGGTCTCTTAGTAGCTTGTGTATATGTACAGTGCTTAGCACAATAACTTGTCAGTGTTGCTTGAGCCCTGCAGGTACTGCTTTAGTTAAAGAATAATGCCCACTCTAGTACAATTGTAACTGGGCAGCACAGTTCTGATACACCAATGCTCTACTTTGTAACTGTGCTGGCAGAGGCCATAATACGTATATGAGCCTTCTTCATGTTGCATTGCTTTGTATGAATCTCATTGACCTGGGTCCTGGCACAGACACACACATTACCTAGTTTTAAGGTTAAAAAATATGCCCTTTTGCAAAGATTTGTCATCCTGGTGATTAAGAACTTGCAAGGCCAACTTCACTCTAGTGAAATATTGGAACAAATATTTGAGAAGGAAAATTTGTAAACATTTAGAGACTGAAAAGGGAGAGTAATAAATGTCATGGGTATATAAGGACCAAGTAATAGCAGTCAAACTTGGATTATGGTTCTAAATTTCAAAATTGAAATTGGCCAATGGAGGTAATAGAATAGTTGTAATATAGCTTGATTTTTAGTAAAGTCTGCTTTAGGAAATGGTATAACTCAGGTTGACTTGGCTCAAACCCATTCAGCATATTGAAAAATGATTAAACAGTTACCTACAGAAGCTGGGAGGAGGAGGTGTTTCGGAGGAGAGCCACCAAGCTCATTAACAGGCCTGGTCACCTGACGTTGGTTGACACCTGCAGGACAGATCCTGTATATGTGTGCGTGTGGTTTTTTTTTTCCTTCCCTCCAGACCATCCCAACTTGGAACCTCGGCACTTTGTTGATGAGAGAGTGGTGAATGAAAACCATAAGGACTACATGTTCCTGGAGTGCATCCTGTTCATTACAGAGGTGAGGCTAGGAGAATTATTTTACAGTGAAACCATTCATCTTTCTTGTGTTCTCCTGGTATTGGTTAGTTGAGTACCATGTCTTTTGTGTGCTGGTTCATCTGTATGTGCGTACATGGATGAGCCTCAATTCTTGAATGAATTGAGGGTGAATGAGGTGAAGCTCCATGGGTACCACAGTGGAGTTTCTTTGATCAGGAATGTGGCTGTAAAAAATAAAGCAGATAAACCACATGGGATGCTTTCCAGACATGGCTCCGGGGAGACGGCTTAAATTCAGAAAACATGTACTTGTAGGTGCCCTAGAGCAGTAGAGGAGGAGTTTCAAAATGGTGCATCCCAGCCACTGTTAACTCTGGCTACCTGGTGTTCCTGGGATGCCAAGCTACCCCTCACTTGATCAGTGCTGGCCCTCTTATCAGGGCTTAGTGCCTCCCATTTAGCTGTGCCTAATTTCTCACTGGGGGACCTACTTTACTTGAGATTCTAGCTTTACCATTAGCTTTCTATGGTAAATTGCTAGTAATAGATGGTGTTGAGTAAGTGGCTGGTAGTTAAAGCTATGGTTCTGGAAGTGCTAATGTGGACTATGGGATTTGCTGAAGGAGGATAATTCCAGCAAACTCCCTTTGTATGGTGGTATGCCGTGAATTGCCAACAGACAGCAGTGTTTGTAAACTATGGCATTTACTGCCTCCTGTCTGAAGCCACTGGGTGTCAGCAAGTTTTTTGATCTGCCTAGATATTTATGCCGTGCTCATTGCCTTAAGAGCCAAGAGAGAGGATCAAGGACTGCACACCCTACTCTCAGGGATCACTATTCCAGTTCCTCTCCAGAAACATATGTTAATGCAATAATTCTGATGCAGATAGTACTACTATTTTTATAACCCCGCCATTCCAGTCGTGTCTGTGTCCTTTTTCCACCCCTCCAATTTTGCAGTGAAACCTGCAGGGTCACATATGGCTTCTCATTTTAGCCACCGGCATAGTGAGTTTTTACAGGGGACACCTGTTGGACTACTGTGTGAGGGTGCTGAGTCTCAGGAACTTGTATGGAGTCTAATAGATGTTGCTGGTGATTAGCATCTTGTGGGACTTGGGTCTTTATTTACTGAGTTAAATAACCTCATAGAAGATAAAGATTATGCAGTCCCTGCAAAGTTGTAATACGGAAGAAAGAAAAAGATAAGGGTGGGGTGGGTGGATGTGTGTGGTGGAGGTCAGGGGAAGGGTGCTTGATCCTGCTCAATGGAAACAGAAGCCATGAGGCTATACAATTAATTTTGAATTTGGGGAAACAGAGCGTGTTTGCTTACAAAAATGTTTATTACAAATACTTGTCTTTGCTCATTGTATTGGAGACTCAAAGCAAAGAGGGGTGGGTGGGTTCAAGTGGATTTTTAAAAGCTATTTTTGAATAGTTTGATTCCCTGGCCTAAATCAGCTTTGGGGCTACTTTAACAATGCATAGACAGGTTATGTTTCTGTCCCACAAACTTTAGTGGAGGTGATGGTGGAATCTGGACTTTTTAAAAGTTCAGGTATTATAGCACCACCTAGCGGCTGGTAAAGCAGCTCTTGGACCTCTTTGGCAGCTGCAGATAATGACTCGGAGCAACCTGAATTCTTCCACCTGGGCTATTTTTAACCATATTTTCTTATAAATATTATTTAAAATTTGTTTGCTCTTTTGAGAGTTAGTCTGGTTGTTGGTTTCATCTGCCTGGTCCTGGAGAAGGCTGCTACTGCCACTAGGTGGCACTGACACAACTTTTAACATCAGCTTTCCCTCCTCCTCAATCAACAAGGGAACAAGCAAAAAACAACCCCCCCCCTGAAAAATAACTGGGGGAAAAAAGATTTAAAATAGATATTAATGCTATTTTTCTTTTAATCCCCTTGATTGAAAACCTGCGTCCTGTTAGTGGAATTACATAAATATAAAGCAAATGTCACACGTTTTGTACACGAGACGGTGTTTTTTTGGTATTGGATCATTCTTCACTTTTGAGTAGTTTAACAAGCTGCAACGTGGGGGTGTTGCCTTCCCCTTAAAACCCAATATAGTGTATTCTTTTGAGTTTTCCCATTGTTTTGCCTGTCCACGGGGCTCAGTAACAAACTGTGGTGTTTGCTACATGTATATGAAACCTCAGGCTGTTAAAGTAATAGTAAAATGATGCTTGATCTGATATGTTATGGCTCTGTCCTCTTAGCGCCCTCTGTTGAATATGGGAATTGCATATAGGTGAAATAGATGAGTCTGTCTTTATATCAGTGGGGCAGTTTTGAAGATGTTGGCCCCTTTAATAAGAGGGTTTTGAGGGAGCTAGTGTGTTGACCAGGGGGTCGGGAGGATTGAGAGGCTTCCTGCCAGGCTGTGCTGCAGAGTTGTTCTGTGACGGGACAAGTCGTTCGCGTGGATGCAGGGTGTTCAGGGCAGGATCTGTTTCTGTGCGTATGTTTCTACAGTGCCTAGCCCAAAGGGACGCTGAACATTGCCACAGCGTGAGCATTAAGTGAACCACTGTGCCTCGGTTTCCCCAGTTGCAAAATGGAACCTCCACGGAGGCTCCGCACGGGGAATTGCAAAGCTTCATTAAAGTTTGGGAGCAGGGGTGACGTGCAGCGGCTGCTGAATCAGAAAATACTCATTCTCGGCATTGTTCAAGAGACCAGCAAAAAAGCAGGTCCCAGCGACCTTCTGAACAACCCCCCCTTTGGAGGGAGTCGGGCCCTGCCAGGCTCCTTCAGGATCCGAGCTATGTGCACGTGCCCTCGGTCTCTGTGGAGCTGCCATATCGCAGGGTGGTTTGAATGTTGCTAGTGATCTAGCGCCCACGGCACGCCTGGCGCCACAGCACAGACAAAGCCAGCGCCGGCCCCTTGTCAGGATGCCCCATGGGGGCGAGGTACGGTGAGCAGGGAGCCCCAGCGCGCCACGTGCGCGTGGGGGTGGGAGAGCCCAGTGGCACGCCGGAGCCTGGAGGAAATCGGGCCATGCTCCTTTAAGAGCCAAGGGCAGGCAGCAAAGAATTTCAGTTTCAATCTGGCTTCTAAATTTGGAGTTTTGGGAAGGGAGGGCTCGGGTTTCAGCTGGAAGGGAAGGAACTGACAGGAAGGCACTACACTGAGCCGTCCCCCTCCCCCTCCAGTTACTGACAGAGGAACCATTTACAAAAGGCTGATTCTCTTGGGAACAGAGAGGCAGGAACGCAGCGTCTGTGAGTAATTTCCTGCTCAATATGGCTGCTCTGACTCACTCCATTCCCCTGGGGTCACTGCGGGACTGCAGCGCTCTTGCTGTCTCTCGCTCGCTCTCTCCAGCTCGCTCGTTTTCTCCCTCTTCTCCCTTTGTGGCTGGGATGAGCTAATTTACTTTTCTTCCCCCTTTCTCTCCTCCCTTCCCCAATCCTGAACAATAGCAAAGTCTTCTCCTGCTGGTGCGGACGTGGGTTAGGAAGGCCGTGGTCGCAGATGTCAGGTGCTCCAGGCGCCTGGATCCTGGATGGCTCGGGCACGGGGCTGGCTATCCGAACCAGCCTTTTCAGAGCTTCCCACCAGTCTTAATGCTTTCAGGCCAGGATCAAAGTGGTGGGGGTTGAGAAGAGCTGTGCCAGTGTGAAGGAGGGAGGGACTGGGAAGCAGAAAGAGACTCGTTGCTGAAAGGCACGCAGCAGACCCTCGCATAGAGGGGGAGATGCATTTCGAAATTGCCTTGCAACCAGCCCCAAACATGTGAGGCATGGTTGTATTGGCTGGACTGTACTGTGCCTGGTCAGTGGTGTAAAGTCCCCCTCACCTTCAGCATGTGCACCCTCTTCAGTCGCCCACTGGCCATGATTCAGTGCCAGATCTTTGTGCTTAAAAACACACCAGCCTCGTTGAGTAGAGAGAGAGAGTGTGTGTAATTTTGTATCTGCAAGAAAAACACGCACAACAGAGGGGAGCAGGAACAGCTTAGCGGCTCATCAGTCATTCCCCTGCTTGGAAGAACTGCAAAGAGGAAGCAGAAATTCATCTGAGCTCTCATTGCAGCTGTTCAGGCCAGGCAGAACTACAAAACCGTTACCCACAATGCCCCAGCGCAGAGGTCAGTGGGTTGGAGACACGTTGTCCTCTGAGCAAATGTTTTTTGTTTTTTTGTTGGTTTTTTTTTTCTTCTTCTCTGTCACACACTGATGCCACTCAGGCAGTGCAAGAGGGCAGCCATTCCCCAAACAGATTGAGCAGCTTTTTTGCAGCAGGCGGCTTCAAAACCATAAACATTTCCGCTTCCAGTCTCCCACCACTACTGTCATGCTGCCTAGGGGGTGTGTGAATAGGAGGATGAGCTGGTTCTCCCAGCCCCGGAGCAGTGGTCAGAAAGCTGCTTGGTTCCCCACATTCCTTCCTAGCTCAGGCTCCGGCCTTGTGGCTTATGATGTCATGGGAACTTCGCTCAGTCAGACTGGCCCTCGGGGTCCGTTTTGTTCCTGGAGGGAAGGGACAGGCTGTGGGGTAGGCAGTAGGCAGCTCTCTGTGAGTTTAGCTTTATTATTTACTCCCCCCTCTCTGGAAAGAAGCCAGCGGCAACGATCAAACACTGTAGTTTAAAAAAAAAAAAAAAAAATGAACACAGCCCTCCCTTCCCCATATCGGCTGTGAGCTGGAGACTCGCAGCCCCACCAGCAGTGTGAAAGGCAACGACTTCAAAGAACTGCTCGCCCCCCTAGCCTGTCTCGGCTTATGGCAGGTGCAGTGTCAGATGCTAGTGCTAGGGTTGCTGCCAGCTCGCGCTGCCCTCTATATTCACGGCTGGCAGTGGTGGCAGTTGCTGCTGCTGCTTGTTGTTTTGAAAGGAGAATGAGTCATTTTCTTGGAAAGCCCAGCAGTGTTCATGGGGAGGGCTCGAGCCTTGGGTAGGATGGGGGCAGAGTGGAGCCCAGCTCTTTGGGGAATGGGGTTTGGGCTTTTGTTTTCTTTAAGGATTATTTAAAAAAAAGCAAAGGAGGAAAGCTTAAAAGGAAATGTGAGGCAGGGAAAGGCCAGTATCTTAAGGGTGCAAGGGGCTGAAGTGCCCCCTCCCTATGTGATGTTGGGGTTAAAGGAGGGAGGCATGGATGGGAAAAGGGGACAGCACCTGGAGATGGCTGGGGCATGGGTAACAGTGCCTGGTGAGAGTTTTTGCTTGAGGTGAGTGTGACTGAGTCAGGGCTGATGCATAAACTTTCCTGTTGGCTGCACTTCCTTAGCTCTCTTCCTCTGCCTTTCAGATGAAGACCGGCCCTTTTGCTGAGCACTCCAACCAGCTGTGGAACATCAGTGCTGTACCTTCCTGGTCCAAAGTCAACCAGGGGCTCATCCGCATGTACAAGGCCGAGGTGAGTGAAGAGGGAGAGAAAAATGAGTCTGTGTCCCACCTCACTGGGCATCTCCCTTCCAAGTCACTGGGTACCTTTCAGATTAGTTCTGATGCATCACCTCACCTAGGCTAGGCATCGGACACTGGAAGTTCCTCCATCCTTAGTGGTCAAATGCTGCCCCCTTGCTGCAAGAGGCTTAGGACTCAAATACTGTCACTTCCAGTCCCATCCTTGTCCAATCCTGCTCCAAGCATCTTGGGAAGGGAGTGACTAGTTCTCAAGTATCCATTAGCTCCTCCCACGCTCACAGCCTAGCACATGTGCCATCTCCTTTTCCAACATACCAGGAGCCCTGCAAGGCTTGAGCTCTCCCAGCAGTCTCTTTAGCACCTCTTTCTGTGGGGGAGAGCAGTCTTCTTTGCTTTCCTTCATTTTTCTGTCTTTCTCTTGTGTTCATCCAAGCAATAGCTCAGGAATGGACGGCTGGTCCATATGCTGAAATTGCATAGACCCAGTTTGAGCACTGTCCATCGATATTTTACCCTCATCTTGCCACAATTGCATTAATCTAGCTAAATTGGTGCAATTTTAGGGTGCAGGCAAAGCCACAGACCCTCTCTAGCCACCCTTCCCCAAAGCCCTGTGGCAGTCAGTCCAAGAGACTGTCATGGGGGGTCTCGGCCTGGGGAGCCAAGCAGCAGTTCTGGCTGGAACTCACCTCCCTTTCCACCCTGTGCTTACATCTCTTTCTGCTCAAGCTAATCCCAAACTTGAGGAAACCGGTTAGGAACTTCTGTCCTTACTTAGCTTCTTGGGGTAGGGTGGAAGGAGTGGGGGAGCTGTGGGTCAGAGGGACTTTCCTCCAGCTAGGGAAGCACCTTGGCCAGGCTCAGGGCTGGATCTCACTCCATGGCAAATAGAGAAAAACATGTAGTTGATAGAGCTCATGGGGTAGGGAGCAGTGCTCAGCCCGCACGGTGCCTCTGTACACTGCAGCTGCCTGGCATTGGAGGCACTAGTATTTCCCACTTGGGGACTGAAGGAGTTAGCTTACTGCCCCACACTCCTCTCTTAAGACAGGCTGTGCCCATAGTGCTCGGAGAGAGGGCAGAGCTCAATTAACAGCTACCCTGGTATGAGTCTGAAAGGGTTAACTGTCTGTCTTCCTCCACTCTCTCCCTTCCCTGCTCCCCTCCCCCTTGCCTTCCTCTGAACTTCACATCCTGTGTTTAGGTTCCAGCCCACATACCTCTCTAATCTGGGAGGCGTCACTGCGAGGGACTGGGCTGGCTCCTTCCGGCTGCAGCTCAGCTTTCCTCGCTGGGAGCACCAGGCAGTGGGATAATGTCCCCACCGTTCCCCTTCTTCTCTGGGACTCTGTTCAGTGGCTTTGTGCCACCTACCAGGTCTAAAACAGAGCTGCAGCAAGGACTATAATGTTCCCGAAGTGCTTCTGTTGTGTGGGGCAAATTCTCTGTGGGAGTAATCCACAGGAGTTGGTGGAGTTAGGCCAGCAATGCATCTGGCCTCTGGGTGCTGTTAAAGCAGAACAAGGGTCTCTACCTTAACAACAAATGAGAGAGCAGACTGCTGGTGGCAAACCACTGTACCTCTCTGCCTCTCCTGCCCTCTGATTTCTGTTGATGAGAAGCTAGCTGCCAATTGCATGAGGTCCCCCAGCCAGCGGTCTGAGTGCAGGGCTCTGGGAGCCTGCATCCAATTTGGGGTTTAACAACAGACAACTATGGGCTCCAGTGGGTCCTCTCCCTGCTCCAGTGTCTTGGCATTTCTCTCCTGGCTGCAGAGGCTGTTAGAGTTTGTGAAGCACTTTTGTGCATGCAAAATGTTGCTGCTTTCTGCTCCTTTTAAGTGGAAAAAGGTATCCTAGTCCATGATTGCCTGTGGAGACTGTGATCAAAACATCACCATTGGTAATATAGGACCTTCCCCACCTGGATGCCATGCTGTTGGGTACCCTTGTCATACCTAGAGAGATGAAGCCACATGTAGGCAAAAAGGCAGAACTAAGCTCTGAACTGAGCTTAGTAGCATGACGCAGTGGTTTCGGCCAGGAAGTGAGCAATGAAACTGCTGTAGGATTTGTTTTGACAGCATTCATCTTTTGAGGAGGGCAAGAAGCTTGAGCTTCTACTAAAGTGTGTTCCTACAGCACAGCACTCTCCTACTGCTATACTTGGGGTCCTTAGCCCAGGCATTCAACAGCCCTCTCCTTTAACTGAATTGGCAGCACCAGTTCCTACAAGCTACTTTGGGAAGTCTCCTATCCAGATGCTGATGCAGTCAGTGCCCACAGCTTATGAGAGTAGATAGGAGCACGGTAGATGCCTCTGGTGATTGGGCCTTGCTTTTGGCTCTAATACAGATGGCTATGCACATTTTGGCCAAGGCTTTCAAAAAGTAGCCAGTGACTTTTTTTTTTTTGAAGTGCTCAATGGGTTCCCACTTCAGGGCCAGATACCTTGGAAGGGCCTGGCTTTTAGAAAGTATAGAGCATCTGTCCTTTGAAAGTCAAGTCCCTTGGAGGTATCTTAAGTTGGGCGTGCAAAATCACCCTTGAAAATTTGCTTCGTTAGCTTCTGGCTATAGAAGCCAGTTTGTTTTCCTTTTCCCCACAGTGTGGCATTGGCCATCCCTTGCTTCCTCTTTTACATGCTGCCAACATTAGCAGAAGATACTTGGGTAAACAGAACTCCCAACTGCTGGCTTGATGCTCCATTCATTCCCCCAGCAGGCAGCTACTGTTGACGGAGCCTTGGAGGAGTGAGGATGTGACGGATTTGTGTTCATATTCTTGTTCTTTTTCTCTCGGACTGGCTGAGATCTAAGCAAGGTTATTGATTTTTCGCTCCCCACTTCTTTCCCCCCCACCACCAACCCTTATAACCGCTTGCTGCTGATTAGATTAGATTAAACTAGAACTTCACTATGGAGGCATCAAGCCAACAACGTTCCAATTATTTAACAGCTTTTTGAGTATGTCAGCTGTACCTGGGAGAGGCACTTGGTGTCCTGCAGATGCCAAATGCTGCCCCTTCATCCTCTCAGGCAGTGGAGGCCTCAGGAAGGTGAACTGCTAGTGGGTGTCTTGAAGAAGGTGGATGTCCATCTGCTTAAAAACTATTTGATGTCCCAAAACAGCAGTACCACAATGGGCAAAAGTAAAAGTCTGAGGCCTGAATCATTTAGAAGGTGAACAGTTGCTTATGCCTCAGCTTTGCCCCCCTTGTTGACACCCCTGAATGCAACAAATGTAAACTAAGTAGTATTCATTCCCTTGTGGTCAGGAAATGTTCTCTGGATACAGAGATCCCAGGATTTGTGTAGTGAAATCTGTGGATGAGCACAGGATTGAAAACGGCCTCTTCTGCCTGGTATATTAAAATGGGTGCGTGGGGGGAAAGAAGACTTTTTTTTTTTTTTTTTAATTTATTATTCCCATTGAAGGAAGGTGGAGCTGACCAAATGGAGTCTGTTTAAGGCACAAGCCTCAATGTGCTCTCTTGTCTGCTTCTGAGTCTCATGACTGTCCCCTCCAGGCTGCAGTCAGACAGAGAATGCTGTCTAGTATGACTGGTCTAACTCGATCCTATCTGCCCAGGCTGCACTTGAAACCAACTTCATAGTTAATCCCTACACTAGGCTTAAGCCTGAGAGTTGGAGGGAAGCAGCAGAGTGAGATGATCCACTCTGAGAGGGTCTATTTGTGTATTGGCAGAGCCTGATGTACAGGCAGGGCAAAGGGGGCCCCATGTTCTGGGTTTCCCTGTGGCCCAGTAGAAATTCTGCTGCTGGAGGATAAGAGAGCTCTCTGCTGAACTCTTGCCCCCATCCCCTTCTACTAGTGTGATTGGAAAAGGCATCCCCATCTCTGGTAGAGCTCCACATCTCACCTTGCCTTTGCATCGACCCATGGGGATCATCTTGTGGACTAAATAACATTCTTTGCTCTAGTGGTTTCTTCATTAAAGACCCAAATCAGCTAAGGCCATCAGCAACACGTCTACTGGTGCTAGAAGGAACATGGGAAACCTTGTCGCCAAAACCTGGTTGAACAGGGCCTGTTCCTTTCTGGTGCCTCCCTCAGGAGCCCTGAGGCTGTCTGTGTGATTACTATTTCCCCAGCAGATACTCAGACCTTCTGCACCTCACTCCGGTCTCAGGACTCTGCAGACTTGTTCTGGCTGCAGCTTGCTCTCAAGAAGTTAAATTGTGCTGGAAACAGCCTGACCCCTGGCCCCCACTGGAATTCCATGGGCCTAGCCTCCTCTCAGATCCCACTGCTTCTCTATGACGACAGTGCAATGGCAGCTGCTTGCCTCGCTGTAAGCTCTCTCTGTGCTCCGCATGGGGGGATTGTGGGCTGTCCTTAACATGCCGTTTCCATTCCCCAAAGAATTAGTGTCTAAATGCACATCAGCTATGGGTGCTTCAGGTTAGCCTGTGGGAGATGAGGGGCACTTGCCTATGTAAGGGGTGCTTTTACGGTGTCTGGTGACTTCCTGGGTACACTCACACTGGCCTCACTGCTCTCAAATTCATAATCAACTGTGCTTAAAGGAAATGACTTAGGAAGGGTCTCAGCCCTGGGCCAGGGGGCGGGCAGGCAGGCAGGCTGCAGCAGGGAGAAGTGAGCCATTTGAGATGGGGCTTTTAGAAAGGGTCAGGGCTCAAATTCCCCTGCAGTTTTCTTTTTCCTGTTTTGCTGCAGTATTTGTGGTGCAGAACACCAGAATTCTTCTCCAAGCACAGGCTGGGCCCAAGATGGCTTTCTCTCTGAGCCACGCACCTATCTTGGGGACAGTGGCTGCATGGAGCAGCTGACTCTATCGTTATGGTTCAGTGCATCCTTGTAGCCATGCTGGGGTCACGTTCTGGAGCATTCCTGTAGCTTGCCTTATGGTCAGGGTGGCACTGGGGCATTCTGGGAGTTCTGCAGCTAAGCTCTGGAGTAAGCACCTTGTTTGGGAGCAGGATATTTTTGGGTAACTTCCAACCCTAGGCACTGTAGGATGCACTGGAGTGGAGAGCACGTGAACAGCCGCAGTCCAGCCACATCATCTTGAGCTAAGGGTCTCACCATTGGGGTGCGTGGAGTGTTAGTTGAAGAGAGATTAGGATTAAGGTTCAGTCTGGCCTCAAGGCATTGAACTCAACTGTTGGGTGAAAGGCACTTCTGCCTAGTGTCTAGATAGGGCTGCCCTTCCAGTGCACTTGAGCATCAACCCCATACCCAGATCTTTATGTAGTTCTTTCCTTTAAAATTAATTGAACATAGAGCCATGATCTACATGAAGGGGTTGGTGAGACTTGGCTTTGTGTTTTTAATTTAAAAAAAGCCAATGTGTCTTTTAAAAAATTGTTAAATACCTCCCCTACTACTGTCTAGTTCAGGGGTGGGCAAAATGTGGCCCATCAGGCCTTTCTATCTGGCCCATGGGGCACCTACAAAATGTAGAAAAAATTTATTTATCTGCCCCTGGCTGCCTGTCATGCAGCCCTCAATGGCTTGCCAAAACTCAGTAAGTGGCCCTCCGCCTGAAATAATTGCCCACTCCTGGTCTAGTTGCACACAACCCAGATCCAGGCAAGACTCCAGCTGAGAGGACAGGAACAAGCTCCTCTCCCTCAGGTAGCCAGAGGACCCACTAGTGCAGTGACATTGATTTATTTTTTCCATGAATCCCATGCTTGCTTATTCCAAATCACTTTGAGCTTCCTGCACACAGGAGACTGGGAAGGGGGGAGCACTCTTGTTAGTTCCTGGCTGGAGAAATGAGATGGTTAAGATGAAGGTATTGGGCTGTGATGGCCCAGGTGTCCCACTGTGCCATGAATGAGAGCTTTCTTGAAGCCTGGGCAGGATGCATTGAAGTGAATGCCCCTGTTTATACTGAAAAATCTTACTGATTTATCCAGTGCTTTTTTGTGGGGAGTCTAACTGAAACTGTAAATGAAGGGGCCCACTTTGCTTGGCATCAGTCCCTTGTGCCCCAGGAGAAGTGAAGGCCCTTAAGACCTGCTGTCTGTGTTGGTGCAGAGTACATCCACTCCTTCAGCTGTTGCCGCCATGGGCTGCAGAGGTATCTGCACACAGACACGTGAATCCCTTGTGCATCTCTGCGCTGTATGAAGGATCAATTTGAGATGCCTTTCTTTGGGATAGACCAGGTGCTAGGAGAGAGCTACAGTAGCCCAGAGATGGGCCTGGCTAGGGTATTCCAGATGCTTGGCCAGGCTCATGGAGAACTGTTGATTAATGAATACCTTTTCATAGTGCACCAAAGCTTGTGTACTCTGACTGCCTGCCAGGTATTCTGTTTTGGGTTAAGCCTCACTGGTTTTAATCCTGTTCTGTTCAGTTGTGGGAAGTGGATCACATTCCCATCATAGCTGTGACCATCTCTTTCACTCCTGAGCTTGCTTCTCTTAAACAAGAAACTGTCTGATCAGTGCCAAAGGGTGGGAAGCTGTCATGGTTAGTGCCTGCCTGGACCCCTACCTTATGACTTCTTGTTTTACATGTCCTCTTCCCTTCAGTGTGCTCCTTTCTCACTCACCTGCACCCTCCCTCTTATTTTTCTTGGGCTTGGTCTGCCCACAGCCTGCTCTCTGGAAAGATCCTTTGTGGGGGGCACAGGCTGTTTGTCTTAAGAGTTGCCCTCCTGGCTTGGACATCGCAAACCTGTACCACAGACACAGACTTTGTGCTGACTTCTTGGGAGCCCTTCTCTTCTCCATCCCTCTTCCTTTCTCTTCCTCGGACAATAACAGATGATGAGTGCAGCCTTTGTGCACTACCTGTGCCCATTCCCTGGGAGGCAGCTCCTGTCCAGCTGACTCTGGGAAGGAGCAGCCTCTTGCTGCCTAGGTTATTGTACTGACAGATGGCCTGAGTCACATCAGCACTGACTGGAAAAGGGGTACAATTAAAAATGTAGTTTCAAATGATGCCCAGGCTGACTTAAATCATATCTAAGGTATCCAGAAAAAGAGTACTTAAATGATTAGGGATCTGGCGAGACTTCTGTGAGAGAACAGAGCAAAAAGACTGGGAAAGCTAATATAGACAGGGGAGAAGCCTGGGGAGCGTGACAGCTACATGAAATATTGGATTGTTCGGAGAAGGGCTGTCGGATACCTCCAGTGGAACAGAAGGGCACCCGCTCATACATAACACCTGCATCATTGACCTGGGGAACTTTGTGCTACAAAATGTCACTCGTGGGGTCTTCCCCACATGGGTTTTGGCATCTTCATATATCCCTCTATGAGTCTAGATCCTTGGTTGGCCAGGGTGAGCTTAAAAATATTGAAAGAGAGAAAGCAAGTGAGTGCTATGGCCCTTCCTGGATTGGGGCCTGGACTCTGAAACTCCAACTGGAGAGAATGGGGCTCCGGCTGCTCAGCGCTTCTGAAAATGAAGCCTGCAGTGACTGCAGCAAGCCGAGGGAAGAGCAGTCAGATGGGCCCTCCCAGGAACAGGGAGAGACTTAAGGAAACTGTTCCTCCTCTTTCCCCGGGCTGTGCTGAGCTGGTCTGTGCTTGTTGCCTGCTTGAGCACCTAAGCCCCAGACTCCTCTTGGAAACCGGGTGATGCTGGTGGTTTGTGGGAGCAGAAATGTCCCTGGTTTCCTTCGCTTGTGGTGGGTGTGGCCACCTGCTCGCAACACACTGAATTCACACCTCTCCTTCTCTCCTCCCGCAGTGCCTGGAAAAGTTCCCTGTGATCCAGCACTTTAAGTTTGGCAGCCTGCTTCCTATCCAGCCTGTCACATCTTAAGGAGGCCACAGGAGAGCCAATGTAGCAGAGACCCAGCGTGGTGCTCTTCCTCTTCCCTCCGCCCTCCTCCTCACCGCTCCAGTAAAACAGCCCATTCATTCCTGCAAATCCTTGTTTGCGAATGGACAGTTCCAAAGCACTTATTGGCCTTGCATGGAAGAAACGACCAAGAGCAGCTGCTCCTGCAAGTACTTGCCACGGTGACTCTGGGAAGTGACAAAGCCAGTGTTGTGCTTCTAGCCCGCAGGGTGTCCAGCCTTACACTTTCCTTTGATCATAGGGCTGCTGTGTATTGCCCTGGGCAGGCAGGTGGGGCTCGGGTAGGGGATACCGCTTCTGCTTTTTTTACAAGAAGAGCTCTGCTTTTACTTGCTGGAGGAAGAGGATGGGGAGGGGGAGGAAGGCCCATGTGTGTGTGTGTCTGTTCATGTGCGCGTATGTGTGGTGGGGCGGTGCTAACTGCAGTTTCCCCTTTGAAGTTCACTGAAGTTTCCTGTTGATGTTTTGTTTGGGGAAACCAATGCCGTTGTGGGGTGTGAGCATGCACGCATGTTCGGGTCCCCTCATCTCTGTGCTGCTGCCTTTGCGTGGAAGGGGCTTTCTTAAAGAGGCAGAGGAAGTATTAGGTAATGCCTGTGGGTGGCTAGAAAACAGAGTGCCATCTCTCCCCTCTCTTGGGTAAAGCTGGCTTCCTCTCCCTACTCCCTCAGCAAATTTCCTTGAGTCTTCACCATCTAGTATTCCTCTCCTACTTACAGCTGGGTGTCCCACCTCTATCAGCTCAGGGCTTGGGAATATTTGAGCTAGCTTTGGAAGCAGAGAGGTGCCCCGGGGGAAGTTTTTAACCACTCGGGGGTCTGGGTTCCATGGGAGTGGCTGTGCAAGACATCGTTTTAGTGATTCCTGAGCAGACTTCTTCCTTCCCTTCTGTAGCACACAGGCACGGCATGTGCCCGCTCTTTCATCATGCTTTGGGATCAGCATGGGCTGGGCACAGCCCACTTCACTGCACTCACCCTGTCCTCTGATGTTTAGCAGCCACTACCGCAGGGGTGGCCTGAATGTCCTTGCGATTGCTATTGCTTGATTATAAATTGTAGCAGCAGGTCCATAATAAAGGGATCTTCCCATTAAATTGCACATCCCCACACGTGGTAGTGGAGGCGTTGCGCAGTGTAGGGCATGTTGGCTTTAAATATATTTATTTAACTGCTGGAAACAAAATATGTGTAAATATCCCTGGGCAATCTATCACATCCTTCAAACTAAGCCTTCCCTTCAGTCATTCCCTGGAAGAGCTGCCACTCCACTGGGATATGCTCTAAGAATATTTACTCAAACCTTATTTAAAGCATTGGGCGCACTGGGTGTTTCCCACGAAGGGCAGGTTGTCAGCAGTCCTGCATCGCTCGCTTGATTCCCTACAGTGGCTCCATGCTCCCAGATCGACCAGTGGCTTTGTCATGTCTAAGTTAACTGGATTCTATACACGTCTTTTGGTAACGAGCAGAACCAGAAATGGAAAAGCAGTAAAGCAACGGGGGTGGGTTTGGGGGGAAAATCTCAGTCATTTCCTTGTGTCTGTCAAAGATTCTGTATGAGCCTCTAGCCTGAGAGGGGCAGCTTACTCCTGCCTTATCGTTAAACAGCGGTTTGGAGTGTAAGAGGGTGCTAGGATGTGGTGGCTGCCTAAGCAAGGGATGGTTTTCGACATTCAAGATACTGCAAAGCTGAGTCTCTCCCATTGCTGCCACCCATGCCTAGCCTGCTTGATTTTCTCCTTTCAGCCCCTTTGTTGCTATTTAGTTGTTGGAAAGAAGTTGAATCTGTTCCTGAAACTGGGTTTTTCAGTTTTTTCTGACCCGGTCCCCTCAGGTTGGCCTCTTCCTTCCCCAGGGCTTGTGCCCTGCTGCTGAAGGAGGAAGTCTGAGAAGGAGATGTACGTGAAGATGCAGGTGGTTCTGGAGCTAAAGTGGCAAAGCCCTCCAGAGCTGCTGCCACTGTCCTCTTGGCTCCACTGCTCTGGGCCTGAGCTGGTGGGCAGTGCCGGACAGCTGCAGCTGAGAAGAATCTGTCGGTGTTCTTTCTAAATTGTGTTTTATAAGCCTGCATTTTAAACAAAATGTGGGAAGCCCCCAGCTGAGCTCTGCTCTGTGCCTGACTCTTCCTGGATCCAGGTGTAGACTCTACTTTCCAAATCTCCATGGAAGTGAATTAGTGGAAGATTTTATTTTTATCTTTTTAAGACCTGAGTTTAAGGACTTGCAAGTTCTGTGTTTCAGGTGCAATTTAGAGGGTCCTCCAACTGCCTTGTTGCATGAGCTTGGACAATTTTACTGTTCTGTAAAATGGGTCTATTAATGCCAGCCTGAAAGACCGACCGGGTGAGACCCATTGCCTGAGATGTTCAGAGCTGACATGGGGATTTAATGGGAATTGGGCTCCTGACTCGGTTGAAGACAATCTTGTCCTGCATATCTGTAACACACTGTTTGAACTGAAAAGTTCAGTAAGAATGCACAGAAGAGCACCAAAAGGATATGGGGAGGTGTTCCCTGCCCTGCACTAGGGATTGGTAGCACTCCTATATCAGTGACGGCACGTTCCTCTGGCTTTGGGAAAGAGGCAGAGATGCTGACCTGGAGCCATTAGGCAGGACTCAAGGGGGCACTCATTCCATTAAGGATTTTGGCTTTGAAACAGGTATGTTTATGTGAATCCTGTCACTCCACCTCCTACCTGCCCTCCATAACCTGGCAAGAGGCTGTTCCTGTTCCTTGATCCCGTTCCCCATTCCCAGGAGATCTCCACCGCCAGCCTGTTTGGGTTCTGTCCTTTTTGCACCATGGCTCCAATGTGCATGCACCTCACCATCTGAATCGCCACCCCAGGGCTGTTCCAGTGTCGGACGCTGCACCTCCCCACATTCTCTGACATCGTGGTTTTAATTAAAATCGATGTGTTTTGCACCTGGTGAGTGTGTTGGTCTGTGTTGCTATTGGTAGGGTTAGCCCCAGACTAAGCTCTTTGGGAGCAAAGCTGCTCCAGCTAATAGTTGTAAATCTGGTTCTCACCTCCCAGACCATAGTTTTATTATAAAGGCAATACTTTGCCTAGGCACTTCCTGTCCTGGCCATTGATCTCTTACTGACACCAAAATTGATTTGGTGTTGTACTTACGGATACATTTGCCTCATCCACTTAAATATTCCAATTTTCTTTGTATCGCCAGTGCGTTTTTATGGTGAATATACTGCAAAGTCTGCATGCCAGCACGAGGGATGTGTCCGCCTGGATTTTGCAGGTAGGCAGAGTATGGAAGCCTGCTGTGCACTTCTCTAGCACAGTCGAAAGTGCTGAGACTTCAATTGCCCATGTCATTTCTGGGGCAGGAGAGGAGCTGAAGACGCCTCCCTTCTCAGGCTTCTCTGCCATACTGTAAGTTTATAAAGTGTGGCTTTACGGAATGGTTCAGATCTGTGCTACTGTTTGGCACCTACTAGATCTCAGTGAGATCAACCAAAGCTTGCAGAGGTTCTAGTCAAATTCTAGTTTTAACAGGAAAAGGTTATAGTTTGGCCCCTGCACAGACAGCTGGCCTAGTTTTAATATTGCTCAGGATGAAAGTTTCATAGTAGCTAGGGTCAGGAGGGACCTGAACAGATCATCTAGCCTGACCCCCTG